ATAAGTGTTCAGCTGCTCAGCTCTCCCCCACACTCAGAACCTTCTGGGACAGAACTGCCGGAAATGAATGACCTCAGCCAGCCTCCTCCTTTCACAGACACCGGGGAAAGTGAAGAAGGCCAGAGACTGGCCCAAGGTCACGTCGTGCCTTGTGTCCCATCCTCATTCCCGGACTTCACTCTCCCCGACAGCCCCCGGACAGAGCTGGGGAAAAACCTCTAGAGATATCCCCAGGGGGAACAGCTGGAAGGCAGGGCTAAGCCAGGGACTCTAGTGATGCAGTGCAGTGATGAGGTGATGACGACAGGACTGTATTTCCCCCTTTTGAGAAATTCTCTGGCATCAGATGAGTCTTGAGGGGAGGTAAGAGGAATTTGGCAGGGATGTGGTTACAAGCCATCTGGAAGGCAATGTGAGGACCAGAAAAGCTGCTGCCTGTTCAGTGTGGTGTCATTCTAAGTGTGGTCACAGGAGGCTCAGCTGTGACAGGGGACATTCAGAGAGAGCATGGCTCTACCCAGAATCCCAAAGCAAGGCAGTGACATTCTTACCATGCCATTTTTCAGCCTTTGTCCTGTGGGTCTGAGCAAGAGCTCGTTACACACTCGTCTGCCCACCCGGAAGAGTGTTTCACGTCATTGCATCAAAAGGGCGACATTCTAGCACAAGTCATCATTGTTAAGCAACTCCCGTGTCCTAGGGATTGTGCTCATATCTTACCCACATTCTCTTGCTTCATCCACCCCACTAGGCATGAAGTCGGAACCATTATCCACCCCCGTTTCCACTTGAAGACACTGAGGCCCAGAGAGGTTTGATGAGGTTGCAAAGGTGATAAGGATGGAGCCAGAACTCAAATCAGGGCATCTGAGATCTAGGACCCAGGCTCCCTACCCACGACACCATAATGCATCTGTCACCACTTCCTGGCACCTCGGGTGACACCTGAGCATCACTCAAGCAGAAACAGCCAGAATCCTAGCTATCACCCCTCCCCCGCCCCACTTTCCCCTCTGAGTTGAGGACCTGGACAGAGGCAGAGCTCCAGGAGATTCTACCCATCCCCTCGTCTTGGCCTTGCTCACCCACGGATGAGTCAGCTGGAATTTTTGGACATCCTGGGCTCACAGCCCTGGTACCAGGAGCTGTCAGGAG